TCTCAAAAATATTATTTTTATAGTTTATAATCATTTTGTGGACAAACCGCCATCTACCGTCAAGGTAGCTAAACTACACCGCAACATCGATATGGAACGATTCGAGTAGTTTTACTATTTATCGATAGATGTAGATAGTATAAAGTGGACGGGGCTTTGCATCCCCTCACCCCGCAAATTGTCACGCGTTGTTACATAGTGAAATTTAATTAGAACGTCTCCTCTTTATATTTGCTTCATGGCTCACTCTCAAGTGGCCTGCACAGACCTACCAAAAGAGGCAAGGTAAGTGCTTCTTCTCCTAATAAGATATGTTGCATAACAAGCATATTGAAGCTGTCTTCTAATATGAAATCTATAGCGATCGAAAAATATAAAAACAGTTTAGTGTCTAAACTGTCTTTCGTTTATTTATTTTGACATAATAAATTAAAACGTTATTATAATTTTTAAACTAATATATGCCAGTTCTTTAGTACTACTACTCTACTTAGCAATACTATCCACGCGGTGATAGCGACTGGTATTTCATACATGCTGCCTGAAAATTTACATCGAGGCCGAGACCACTCTCAAATTGAAAGAACAATCAAGCACATAGCCTGGCGTGGTGACAGATTATATGGCGTCGCAGGCTATAGGTTCAAACCCGAAGCCTACATTTGTGCTAATCACTCGATTTCGTTGCATAAGAGTAGGAATAGGTAAGTTGCCAAGTGTACCTTCAAGACTGCCGAGGCGTCGAAAACAGATGTCCTCTCTGACGTACACGTAATCTCCAGCTAGGGGCACAAAGGATTGTTCTAATTTGCACCCCAGGTAGGTAAGATATGAAGTATTGACCAGAGAGGACACTTGTGTCTCAGTTAAAAAGAGCAAGGCCGGCTTTGCCTTCTCCAGATGGTACTGAAATGAATTCCCCCGATATTGCTGAAATTCAAGTTATTTATGTTACCGTGAATTTCTGCAATATCGCAGAAGTAAACTTCTACTTCACGCTGAAAATATAGTAAATACATAGGGGCTTCCCGAGAAATTGCGCATACGCTTCTGCACTACAATCTTGTCATTCGCAGATGGCTAGTCTTCATTGTGGCTGGCCGCTGTGACCGAAATTCAGTCTGAAGGACACTATTATTATTATTACATAGATTACTAATATAAATGTACTAAACCTCAACATTATTATTTGGCTATGTCACCAATGGCTCGCTGACGTGTGACCGCTATGACGTATTGTATGTTTGTAAGCGAAGAAAAGAAGCCATTGAAAGAATGCTTTGTAAAAAATTATACACTCCTGTATGTTAATTTAAATTTTTAATTAGTAGGTCGATAGATATAAAAGAATTATACTATTGAACTGATTCCCAAAAATTCCTTCACTGAACAATCAATATAATAGCAATAGCAAAAATTATTTGAATTTAGTTGGTACTCGTAATGATGATGAATACTAGTTTAATTGGAGTTTTGTGGTAAAAGTATCAATTCTTTACCTATGACTTTATATGCCAATGCCATGACCATTTATAACAGTCTTTTTAACAAATTTTACAACAAATCTTCACTGTTCTTATTTGCTTCCAAGTTTCCAAAAACTTATCAAAACATCGTGCAGCCTTTGTTTGTCTGCCATTTCAATTTACTTTTTTGCTTTTTTTGTCACTTTTTCTTTTGTTTTTTTTTTTACTTTTTTATGTGTAGCATTTTTTAAGATTTATAAGATATTCCGCAATATACATTTTAATAAAATTATATATTATTTTTAGTACATAAATAAAACATTTTATATTTTTGTAGTAGTTACTTGACATTATAAATAATGATTTCAATTTTTCATTCCTGTTAGTTATATGTTTGTTTTATGATTGATTTAATAAGTGGTTTTTTTTTCTAATTTTAAGTAGTATTATTATTTGTTACATAAACTTTATTGATGTATTAAAAGTTCTGCTGCTGCGTTTCGTCTGATGAGTGTAGGTGACCGGAGGCCCAATTCCCCCCCCCCCCCTCCCCATCAACATGGAAGCGGAATTAAATGAAAGACTACCCCAAGAGGGTACCAGCACCCCAGCATCCACGACCAAGCTACTCCACTACCACACAAGCTACTGCCCCGCGTATTCTGGGGAGAGGGCCAAAACTGCGCTCAAAATAATAACTGCTCGGGGCAAACTGAGCAACTAGACCAATGCGACCCCTGCCACACTGTCCGTTAATTTGTGCAACTTTTACAGTGGTAGAGCCACGCGGCAGTTTTTGCTGTCGCACGGATGAGCCGGCTCGAACCGGGGTGGTACCACGACCTCATAGAAAACCAGCGTGAAGTAGAGGTAGGTTTACCTCTGCGTTTCGCTTGGTGAGTGCAGGTGGCCGGAGGCCCTTTTTACTGGAAATGAGGCATTCCATCTTAGTCCTCACGGGTGACAACGCATCTACATTTTGATTTGTAATAGAGAATAGATGTAGATTTACATGGGCCGCAGCAACCACTTACCATCAGGTGGACCGTGTGCTCGTTTGTCACCCTTATCCTATAAAAAAAACTCGAACCTAAACGCCGTCTACTACCATCTCGAGACGGCGAAGCCGGCCTGGCTCTTTCTCTGACCGAGACGCAAGTGTCCTTTCCGGCTGATACTTCGTATCTTTTCTACCCAGGGTACAAATTGCAACACTCCTTTGTGTCTCGGGTTGGATTTTGCGTATACGTCAAAGAGGACATCTGTTCTCGACGCCTCGGCAGTCTTGAAGGTTTGGACCTGTCCATCCTTTGGCTACGCGTAGACAGCGATGACCATCCCCGCGTCTACGGGTGCCTCTATAGGTCCCATAGTGGACCGCATCAGCATCTTGGGATGTAAACATCAGCACCCTTAAAAAGAAGTATAATTCCGCCTCCAGGTCCTTCAAAAGAGTCATTGCCATGGTAAAGTCAGAGCCCAAAGGCAGAATTGACGAGAAACTAGTTCGCCTTCCTTCGGGAACCCGTGCATTTTGGTCTCTCGCTAATGCTGTCCAAGGGAACTTTAATTAGCCATCTCTTCTATCTCTGCAGAGGGAGGACGATTCACTGGCCCATGCCGCAATGGAGAAATCCGATTTGCTAGGCTCTTTCTTTGCGTCCAACTCGGCTCTCGATAACGGGGGAACACACCGCCGAACATCCCGCGGTTTGAGTGCTCCATGCCGGATGTGCGGTTCTCACAGCGCTCGGTTCGCAAAGCACTCCTATCCCTGCACATCCACAAGTCGAGGGGGCCTGACGGAATCTCCCCAATTGTGTTGAGGACATGTGCTACGGAGTTGGCACCGGTTTTAAAGCGTCTTTTCCGGTACTCCTACTCCCTAGGCGTAGTCCCGAAATCATGGAAAACGGCTTTTGTCCACCCGGTCGCAAAAAAGGCGACCGCTTAGACCCGTCCAACTACAGGCCTATTGCCGTCATCTCCTTGTTCTCCAAAATAATGGAATCCATTATAAACTGCCAGATCATGCGGTACCTTGATCTTCTGATCTACCTGACTCATAGATGGGTGGAGGCAGTAGAGTCCAAGGGGAAGGCATTGGCCGTTAGTTTGGACATTGCGAAGGCCTTCGATCGGGTTTGGCACAAAGCGCTTCTTTCAAAGCTCCCTTCTTATGGGCTTCCCGAGAAATTGTGCAATTGGGTCACCGGCTTTCTTGCAGATCGGAGCATCAAGGTCGTTGTAGATGGTGCATGCTCCGACAACAAGCTTATTAACGCTGGTGTTCCACAAGGCTGCATGCTATCACCAACGCTGATTCTTCTGCATATTAGTGATATGTAGCAAACCGGTAACATTCATTGATATACGAATGAAAGCACTGGTGATGCTCTATACACAGGCAGTGCCAATGTTTCTCGGAAAAATGTCGCCGAATACCGAAACAAACTTGTGTCTGAAGTCGAGTCTTTGCTGAACAAAGTCTCGGATTGGGAACGACTAAACATAGTCCAGTTTAATCTTCATAAGACACAAGTTTGCGCATTTACCGCTAAAAAGAACCCCTTTGTCGTATCCCCTCAGTTTCAAGGCAGGCCCCTTGTTGCCTCAGCCAGTATCGGAATCATCTGCATTGACAAATCGAGTGACGTGTAGTTGTGGTCGATTGGAATAGAAGGCCAAATTGGTCTCTAAAAAGCTTGGCATGCTCAGCAGAACGGGAAAATATTTCATGTCGGCACACCGTCTGCAACTTTACAAGGCGCAGGTTCGGCCTCACATGGAATACCATTCCCATTTCTGCGCTGGGGCTTCCCAGTGCCAGCTCGTTCCACTTAACCGCATCCAGCGCAGAGCGGCTCGAATCGTCGGTGACCGAGTCCTTTCCGATCGACTTGATTCACTGGCACTGCGAAGAGATGTTGCATCCCTTTGCATTTTCTGTCGCATTTACCACGCAGAATGCTCCGAGGAATTGTTCAGATTATTCCCAGCCACCAAATTTCACGAACGCACATCGCGGCAAAACTCCTGATACCATCAACACCATCTGAATGCTTGGCGGCCCACCATTGTACGTTTGACTAGGAGTTTTCTTCCGCGTACAACCTCTCTGTGGAATAGCTTAACACCGGCTGTTTTTCCGAACCGAGCTTACTCCTTCTTAAAAGGCCGCCAACGCACCTGCAATTCCCTTGGTGTTGCATTTGTTCATGGGCGGCGGTAATCACTTACCATCAGGTGAGCCGTATTCTCGTTTGCCACCTCTCATACAAAAAAAACCTTAAACATATAATTAAAATGTGGTGGGTAATCATTAGGCTAAAAAAAATGAGAATTGAATTTAAGATATTCATTGTTCAGAATATCAATACTATAATATTATATTATCAATTGAAAATCTGTTCAAAATTAATATATGTACCTAATTAATTTTATGTATTTGAAGCTATAATATCTTAAAAAAACATAATTGTTAGATTTTGACATGTATATTTATTAATATTTCATATATATTTTAAACGCAATTTAAGCGTTTGATTGAATCCAGGATGTGTAGCGAGAAACGCGAGCGTTGACACCAGGGTATCGGGCAAGAGCGCACTGTTGACCAAATGAGCATACACCGACAATGACATTGTTGTGGATAAGAGGGCCACCGGAGTCACCCTGGCACTGGTCACGACCGCCGACATCGAGCCATCCAGAACACAACATGTTGTCTGTGATAGTCATGCCTACTTCAGCGTAGCGGCTTCTGCATGTAGCTTGGTTGACAGTCCAGATCTGAACACGGCGCAGTTGCTCAGAAGCAGATCCTCCAACCTGAAAATAGTCAAAATCTCTTTATTTAAGGCAACTTAAAAGACCATGGCCGTTGTTGATCAAGTCTTTCCATCCACTTTCAAATCAGAGACTGTCTAGCGCTGTAATAGGCTTCTTTACATTGAGGCAGTGGTGCTGTAGATGTCAAATCCTGCACAATTAGAAAACACTATACCTATGCCACCACGAAATCACACTGAACGTCTCATCACCCCCGTGTTGGCCACCTTGGCCTCCATTATGTGGTTTAGAGAAGGCCGCATATGACAAAGTACAAATCGCATTTGTCCTCTGCACTCCTGAACCCTCGTGCCGATTTTGTAAATGTAGTTAACAACAACACTAAATTATAATTTAAAAAAAACTGTTTACAGTCGGACTAAGTTCATTCATTTTACTAACATATGAGGCTTACATGTATGTTAGTAATGAAATAAAATAATATGAAAAATGGTTGTAATAAGTGACTAAAATTGCTGGCTCATCGCGACACAGCTTCTTTAACGTGTAAATCGATAAATCGACCGAAAACTAAATCTTAATAGGATTGCTAGTATCTTAAAGTAATTTTTGGAGACTACCTTTTAAATTGTTATTAAAATCTTACCGAAGTGGTTCCCCATCCAATAGCCCATACAGCCTGATTGTCACCGAGGTTGTAGTTGGCACCAGCAATACTTGCAGCTCGAACACTATTGCTGAAAGAGAAGGTGGAGGCAGCACGCATTACAGAAACATCGTTGTCGAACGTACGACCATTGTAGTTAGGGTGGTTGATGATTTGAGCACAGTTGTGAACGGTACCGCCACTGTTGGCCCATGTGGAACCAACACGTATACGCCATCTGTTAGGTGAGTCCCCGCTGTGAAGAAAAGTTTTACCATCAGTAATTATTTATTTTTAATAAAACTTTAATCTAAATCGTAAGGCAATTAATAGACGTACACCGTGCAGTGAGCCGCAGTGAGGATAGCTCTGTTGTTGATAATGGTACCACCACAAGCTTGCCTATAGCTAGCTGAATTCCACGAGTACAACAAAGGTGTAGCAAAAGGATATTGCTCAATATTTGTAACTGATCCACCGACAATCTTTTGTTGCTTCTCGGGCACAGCTGAAAGATAATAACATATAATTTAATTTAAGACCATTATTAGTTGCACTAAATTTTATGGTTTTATTTTTAAGATTTACTAATTTCGACTATTGTTGTTCTGCAGTAAACTTTATTTTATAGAATAAGGGTAAAAAACGAGCACACAATCCACCTGATGATAATTGGATGATGTGGCTCATAGACATCTACACCTATCCTCGATTAGAAAAGAACGCTCACTATTGAGCAGCTATTTTATGCTGGTTTTCTCTGAGAGCGTGGTCCCTCCCCGGTCGAGCTGACATATTTGTGCTACAACCACAATATAGCTGCAGCAAGGCTGTACTACGTAAGAAACTAAACTGTTTATTTACAATTATTTTTAACTCAACAAAAAGAGTAATTTTTATGTAGCTCATTAGTGAACAAATATATCATTAATTCCATTATATAATAATAATAATAGAACCGCATATTTGCGGTAGAATATCCACTACCCCATATCGCACCTTTGGTGTCGTAAGGGGCAACAGAGGGATTTATTATACGTGGTAGAGCCATGTTGCAGCTACATTAGTAGTACGGTTGTAGCACGAATGGGTCGGCTCGACCGGGGAAGGACCACGCTCTCACAGAAAACCAGCGTAAAATAGCAGCTTAACGCTGCTGTGTTTCGTATGGTGAGTGTAGAGAACCGGAGACCTTTTTTACTGGAAAAGAGGCATTCCATCTTAGTCCTCACGGGTGACAACGCATCTGCATTTTGATTCGTAATCGAGAATAAATTAATGTAGATGTCTATAGGCCACAGTAACCACTTACGATCAGGTAGACTGTGTGCTCGTTTGTCACCCTTATCCTATAAAAAAGGGAAACAAACTAGGAATGGACAGCAGCATCTTCCTAATAACAACAAAAAAAACTACGGTTGGCAACTGCAGCGAATATTCTCTCCATGAGACAATCTATGCGAGAGGTGAGTGTAACGGTAACTAGCATCGTCCGCGAATTTGCTTGCGTGGACTTTAGTTTTACTAAATTAGCAATATCTGGATGTCTGTTTACACAAATGTTTTTCTCATCCATTAATGCATACATTACAGTTTATCAAAAGTCCACGCTGTACATATAAACCCTATACATGCTGTCAGTCACCTATGATTATTAATTAATTTATTTATGGACCCTTTAAAAGTCAACTTAAATCATGCATTTCTTTTCGTTGAAAAATAATTAATTATAGTATAATATTTTAAATTATTAAAATTCCAATTCATATATGACTCTTTCTAAATATATATGATAACACTCGCAATATCACTGTATCAAGCTCTCAAGCTATAGGAAGACTAAGCGATATCACAATCTCAAGGTTACGATTTGAATGTCGTCTAAATGTACTTAAGCCTTCATACTCTAATACAAATTAATGTGGTACCACCCCAAAAACAAACTATTACGTTAAAAAAACTCATCTAAATACAATCACATTTGATAAAGATATTGCGTATCAATAGACGTAGAAAAAGACACAGTCGTAATGAGAACATCATTTTTTTAAATCGGCTAAAATCGATAACATTTCTAAGGCATTGGAACTTTCCACGATTTTTAGGCTACATTGAATTGATTCGACTTAATAGATACTTCTACGGTCTCGTTATTTATCCACAGAGTCTGTAATTAATTCCTGGAGCAATGCGTTATACGCTATTACAGCAAAATCCCAGAAAATATACAAGGTTCCTCTGTTACTAAGTTTAAATGTTCTGTTAAGCAAATACTATATAAAAACGGTTATTATAATATAAATGAATACATGGTTGGTAACTACCTCTGGGAAAGAGGTGGTCGCTTACAACCTGAGTTTTTTATTGTTAATATACTTTGAAGAAAATCTTCCGCTGGGTTTCTTGCTGGTTCTTCCTAAGGCACAGGGTTTTTCCGAACCAGTGGTAAAAATAATACATGGCCTTCAATAATAATTACTTGTCATATATATTAAATATAAAATAGTTTTTTCTGCCGCCAAATAGCAGCGATGGCACTTCTATCTTCCAGTGTGAAGAGTGAAGAGAGCCAATATAATAATTACAAGCTGTGAGGTATTCCATTTTATTCCTCAGAGGTGACAACACATCTATATAGCCTTCTTTGTTTAAAGTACAGTCGCCACTTATCGTTAGGTGGATTATAAGTTCCTTCGTCACTTTAGTTTTATATAAAAAGACCGTTCCGTTGTTAGTTTCTAAAAACTATGTACGAATTCGAATGATATAATTAAACATCTAATCATGTAAACATTATTACACCAGAATAACATAACTTTCTAAATCTGAATGTTTGGATCACAGTAAATCAGAGCGTGCTCATAATGCTGTTCTAAAAAATAAAATCATTAATTAAATAGCACGTGACTTACCCGAGACAGCTGCGAGGCATAAAGCCAATAGAACTACGGATAGGGAACCCATTTTATCTTCCTCCGTCGCTACTGTTTCGGTCTTAAAACAAGACACCTATATATACCGCTAATAATTAGGCTCTTAACTGATAATAATCTTAAGATAATCCTTATTTATACTTCACAAATAAATGACACATAACATAACGCTGTTCATTTGAATTAAATTGTGAACATAGATTATGTTATATCTTAATAGTGCTAAATAGTATTAAGATAATATTGTAGTAATAAAAATATTTTCTAATGTTAATGTCGACGTTATCTTTTACCTTCTATGTACAAATTCTATGGAGAACATGAATAATGATATAAATAAATATAATTTTAGCGTCAATGGAGTGTTGGGAAAAAGACAGCACACACAATACACAATAATTGATTAATTTTATAATACTTAATATTTTGTCTTTTGTGTTCTAAGAATTTAATAGTATCTCACAAGGCAGGAAAATAGACAAAACAATAATTATAAAAGCGACATACAAAATTACATATTATTTTGATGTACATATATATGCTCTCACATATTTAATAGCGAAGAACCAGCAAAGATTTAGTCTTTGTAAGAGACGCACTATAAATATTTATTTATAATTTATTATGTACTTATTTGTTCTCATAAGCCAAATGTGTGATTTGATGCTATATATATTATGATACATTGTTTGATTCTTTTATACAGTCATTATAAATCAACGACTGCACCCATAAGCACATTATGATCGGGGCTTATCCTTTCCTCGAGCAGTAGATATATTCTCAATGGGCAGTTGCACACATACACTGGTAGTACGCGGCACGGATTTCGAACGCCTTCCACTTTACTCGTGAAATCGTGGTTTAATTCTATAATCTAGTCTTTATTTCTTTTAAACCAATCATTTAGTTGAGAATGGGATGCAGAAAGAATTTAATTTTCTCAATGTTATAACCTAACCTTTTTTTTTACATGGGAAAATGCCTACGCATATCCGCCTCGCGGAGGCAAGGACGGGTTATGTCAGACTCGCACTGACTAAAACCCCGTGGTGTTCCACCTTCGTCGCATATTGGCAGGGCCACGGGAACGCTTTCGCACACATCCGCGGCCCCACCTGCGCTGGCCACCCCATGGCGGCCTCTCCTCGGGAGAGGACTACTCCACCCCCCTCTCCTTCTCATGTAAGGCGCATCAGAACACATGGCGCGCCCTCCTCCTCGGCCTCCGATTTCACATGCGCAACCGACACCCCCGTGTCCGATGCGCGAAGGCCATGGGGACAGGAAAAACTAGCACTCAGAAGCACTAGCCTTCCTAACCCCAGCGGCGGATCTGGTCTATGGCTCCACCGCCAACCAAGATTCGGCTGCGGAGGGTAGGGAGAGCGGCGCCTCGCAATACCGACGCTCCTCTCCCCGCGCAGCCCCACCACCACCGCATCATTAACGGTGCGACCCCGTCAGAGTCGCGGAGGATAGGGCGAGTGGCGCATCGCCATACCAACACTCCTCTTTCTCCGCGACTCCACCTCGGCTGCAGAGGTAGGGGTGGGGAGGACACCCCTCTCGCAGCAGCCCACCGACACACATCCGAAGTGGGCTCGCCAAGCCCACTTGGAGCGGCCACCTCGGGCCGGCCCTACACCCCGGGCCAGCCAAGGGGTTCCTCTTTGTTCACCGCGGGTGACCAAGCCACGGCTAAGCGGGAACCCGTTCGGGGCGGTCGGGGGGGAACCTAACCTAACCTAACCTAACTTAAATGTATAACCTTTAAATATTTTTTAATTATCATAACCAGCTTGCTAATTATAGGCCCCTTCTAATACGCTACCAGAAGTTGCTTCCAGCCGCCAAAATTATCGCTCCATTTAACGGTCATATATTTTAATATATTTAAAGAATTTGTTTTAGTTTTGTTTATCCGTACGCATATCAAAATTTATTATGATGGCAAGGCCTTCTTGAGAATGTAACCATTTTTTTGACTGTGTGAATTACGCACAAGCAGCGCAACAAGCAGAAGAACTGAAATTTAAGTGCTTGTAAAGATTCATCTTAGGTTGTTATGTTCCCATAGGCGTACATAAATGTGAAAAGTGTCATTATAATTGTTTCTTAAGAACATTTCTTTAATAACTCTCGAGACCCTCCCTCTATTGTGCATAGCTCTTATAGCTCACCTTTGAAGTAATAATATAATTTCAAATAGACTGTACACCGTAACAATGTGAAAGCAAGAGGTGTAAAGTCAGATTCAATATCTATTTATTGCTTAATTTTTATTGCCCACGACGGAACGAAGGTGTATGCATTTAGGGTTAGAGGTTGTTTGTTTCTTTGTGTGTGGAAACGATGTTCCACACACTAAACTGTTTTACTGATTTAAATACGGTTTTTTGTAAAGGGTTTGTGATTCGTAGGCGATGGTTCTTAGATATATAAGTGTTATGGTTTTAACTTACCCGGTGGCGCTGCAATAAACATATCAGTGTAAACGAATGTTCCCATTTATCTCCAAAACAGTTTGATTGATTTTGATAGTACGGTTGTATGTTAAGGATTCATAGGCGATGGTTCTTAGATATGTAAGTGTTGTGGTTTTAACTCACCCGGTGGCGCAGCAATAAACATATTAGTGTAAACGAATGTTCCCATTTATCTCTAAAACAGTTTGATTGATTTTGATAGTACGGTTTTCTGTTAAGAATTTATTCACGATGGTTCTTAGATATGTAAGTGTTATGGTTTTAACTTACTCGGTGCCGCAGCAATAATCATATTAGTGTAAACGAATGTTCCCATTTATCTCCAAAACAGTTTGATTGATTTTGATAGTACGATTTTATGTTAAGGATTCATAGGCGATGGTTCTTAGATATGTAAGTGTTATGGTTTTAACTTACCCGGTGGCGCTGCAATAAACATATTAGTGTAAACGAATGTTCCCATTTACCTCTAAAACAGTTTGATTGATTTTGATAGTACGGTTTTCTGTTAAGAATTCATTCACGATGGTTTTTAGATATTTAAGTGTTATGGTTTAACTTACTCGGTGGCGCAGCAATAAACATATTAGCGTAAACGAATATTCCCATTTATCTCCAAAACAGTTTTATTGATTTTGATAGTACGGTTTTATGTTAAGGATTCATAGGCGATGGTTCTTATATATGTAAGTGTTATGGTTTTAACTTACCCGGTGGCGCTGCAATAAACATATCAGTGTAAACGAATGTTCCCATTTATCTCCAAAACAGTTTGATTGATTTTGATAGTACGGTTGTATGTTAAGGATTCATAGGCGATGGTTCTTAGATATGTAAGTGTTGTGGTTTTAACTCACCCGGTGGCGCAGCAATAAACATATTAGTGTAAACGAATGTTCCCATTTATCTCTAAAACAGTTTGATTGATTTTGATAGTACGGTTTTCTGTTAAGAATTTATTCACGATGGTTCTTAGATATGTAAGTGTTATGGTTTTAACTTACTCGGTGCCGCAGCAATAATCATATTAGTGTAAACGAATGTTCCCATTTATCTCCAAAACAGTTTGATTGATTTTGATAGTACGATTTTATGTTAAGGATTCATAGGCGATGGTTCTTAGATATGTAAGTGTTATGGTTTTAACTTACCCGGTGGCGCTGCAATAAACATATTAGTGTAAACGAATGTTCCCATTTACCTCTAAAACAGTTTGATTGATTTTGATAGTACGGTTTTCTGTTAAGAATTCATTCACGATGGTTTTTAGATATTTAAGTGTTATGGTTTAACTTACTCGGTGGCGCAGCAATAAACATATTAGCGTAAACGAATATTCCCATTTATCTCCAAAACAGTTTTATTGATTTTGATAGTACGGTTTTATGTTAAGGATTCATAGGCGATGGTTCTTATATATGTAAGTGTTATGGTTTTAACTTACCCGGTGGCGCTGCAATAAACATATTAGTGTAAACGAATGTTCCCATTTATCTCCAAAACAGTTTGATTGATTTTGATAGTACGGTTTTATGTTAAGGATTCACAGGCGATGGTTCTTAGATATGTAAGTGTTATGGTTTTAACTTACCCGGTGGCGCTGCAATAAACATATTAGTGTAAACGAATGTTCCCATTTATCTCCAAAACAGTTTGATTGATTTTGATAGTACGGTTGTATGTTAAGGATTCATAGGCGATGGTTCTTAGATATGTAAGTGTTATGGTTTTAACTTACTCGGTGGCGCAGCAATAAACATATTAGTGTAAACGAATGTTCCCATTTATCTCCAAAACAGTTTGATTGATTTTGATAGTACGATTTTATGTTAAGGATTCATAGGCGATGGTTCTTAGATAAATGTTATGATATTGACTCGCCAGTGGGCGCTGCAATAAATATTTTTCGCTCGTTATAGCGAATTTTCCCCGAGACAGCTTGACTGTTTTAGATGCGATTATCGATATCACATAGTATATTTGAGTTCTTAGAGCAAGTTTAAGTCTTTGGCGAATGTATTGGGTCCAAGATGTATGATCGTCTTATCGACTGCAGTGCCTTGCAATTTATGGACTGTAACGGCCTAACCAAATATGAGTGGAATTATTACCGTTACTATTTTGCCGGCCCCTTTGTTGCCTTGACATGATACACTAATTGGATTGATGCCTATGGTAACTTATACCGATAAAGCGGGAATCAAATTGAAATATGACTTTTTTGGGCAGCTCTCCTACTGGTCTCTTCTTAACCCTTCCTACAGAAAACCCCGAACTACTTCCATGCTGCCATTGGCTAATCTTTAGTTGACTTTTCATTCTTAACGTCACTCCTGTACCCATACCCAAATTTTGATGTAACCAATGATGTTAAATTTCACTGCTTGGCTTATCAAAAGCCTATTTTCTCCTGCCTTGAAGACGCTCACGTTAAAAATAGATAAATAATTTGGAAAACTGAAACGCGACTTTAAAAAAAATATTTTTTATTCATAGAACAAGGACTTTGTCACTGATCATGATCCACTATCGAAACATTTTA